ATATAACATAAACCACTCCGTACTCCGTACAATCCTGATTAAATTAATGTAGTGTTCAGGGTTTCGGCGAATGAATTACTCCCTGCCATCTCCACCAGACGCCAAAACGCCCCGGACCATTCCATGTTGGATGGCCCACCAAAGCTGCGAGATGGCGTCGGGCCGAAGCTTTATCTCTCCTGACAGGCTTGGCAAGCCACTTCAGGGATGCCCACTCAGCTAAACATCAGGCCCGTTAACAGTAGCCCTGCAAATAGCTGTCGACCGTGCGTCACTGTTCTAGGCCCATTCACCGTCCAACCCATTTCAGCTCCAGCGTTCTCAAGACGGGATAGGCAATCGTGACAGAGATGAGAGTAAGCTCATCACCCACATCCCCTCCATACCTGCCAATCTTCTTGGCGATGGGCGCGATGTACTAAATGCGCCGTTAGCATGAGACCCAAGATCTGTCGCTCAGCTTCTTGGTCGGTTGCATACCCAGGTTTGGCACATGCCTAAGAATGAAAATCCAATGCCAATCAGCAGAGAACCTGTACCAGCCAAGCCCAGCGGTAGTCGTTTGGGGTCCTGCCACGCCGTCAAGTCATACCCTCCAATCATTGGCCGAAAATAAAAGTGCTCAATAAAGAGAATGACGGCGAATGCAAGAGTCCAATAGCCGAGAATGGAGAGCAGGTTGTTAATGATTTCCTCCAACACATTACGGCCACCATAGGCGAGTGCAAATGTGACGAGACTCAAAATTGTGCACCAGAAGAACCGCGGAACAGCAACAAAGTGTTTGCCAAGGAGCTGCATGCAAAGCGCGCTGGAGTAAATATTCGCAATCGTGTCGCCAACTGTTTTTTGTTTTTTAATCAAGTCAGCATAGGAGCCAGTTTAGTCGCCTGCGCCACATATAAAACCTACGAAACGATAGGGCGAAGAAGACACAGGCAAACTTGCCCCAGGCGTCAGGAGGTGACATGATGGCAAGAATGAGACCACCCGTGCCACTTTGGCGGTGAATGCTGGATAGCATCTCGTTTGTCAGAACAATCCCCCCGAGGAGATTACCCAGAGTTCCAACAAATATTGTAGGCACGATCAAGCCAATATATGTCAGCCCAAACACCAACCACTTACTAGTCGTGACGGGGTAGTGGATGTAGTAGTCGCCCGCTATCGGACACCAAGAAGCGCAGACGCCGAAGATGATGGCAAAGTACGACAAACAGCCCCCGCTAAGATCGATTCCAGAGCTCAAACCGGCGTCAGGTGTCGGGGAAAAGTACTTGGCAGACTGTCCGTAGAGGACACAGATGAGGACCAAAGCAAAGAACCAGGCATATCTTTCGTAGTGATGGATAACTCGGTAGCCTAAAAAGGACACTACAAAGGCAGCAAGAATGATGATGACGATGCCGACGACCAGTGCCAGACTGCCCCCTGACACGGCACGGAGAAGCTGGCCTCCAAGAATAGCAGCAATCGTTGCATAGCCAATGTTGATGACGACGTTGAGCACAGCGGCCAACTTTGAGCCCCAAAGTCCCAAGGAATACCGCGACACTGCCACTTGTCGTAGTCCGGTCATGGATGAAAGGGTGGCGGTAAAGGCGGGCACAGTCGAACCGGACAATGTTGCGAAGATGGTGAGAATAATGGAGGTGTTGACTGAGAGTCCAAGGATCGGGCCCAAAATACCAATTTGAATCATTGTTGGGCTGAACAAGACGGAAAACCAGAAAAATATCATCTGAATAGCCATATTAGCGCCATAGCCCATAACGCCCTACCACTTTACATACATACGTTGAGTATTTGCGGGGGTCTGCGCTTGTCCTCAGGAACCCTCTCCACGCCCATGGCCTCAAACTTGGCAAATCGGTCGATTCGACTTTCGAGATTCGCAAGGAACCTCAAGACAGGCTTCTTTTGCTGAATGGCATCAATCCTTGAATCTCCATGGTCGGCAGATTCCTGACTCGACGAGCCAGCCAAGTCGTCAGTCAAGTTCGTATGAGGAAGCGTGGTGTGCTTCTCGATCTCGCCGCCCGCGCCAGGTGTGGATGGTGGCGTGCTGGATGGCATGGCGATGTACATAGTCTCTGCGCGTATGCCCACTGCCCAGTTGAGACGCGAGACTGTGAGATGAGGTATAGACAGTCGCGCAGATCTCAATGGGTTGTGTTGCAGCAAAAATGAGCGACACCGCCGGGACAAATGCTGCCAGGTGAAGTGGCAGGAGCGACCGACCCTCCAGCACGTGAGAAATTCCCTTTGCGCACGGGGGGGGTTTAAAAAAGAAAACAGTGGACGAAACTCTGATCCTCCATGCTTCACCACGACGAACTAGAGAGCGAGTTTGCGGAGAGAAGAAAGCTCGAAGTCGCAGGCAAAGGAAGCATGCATGGCAGACGGTCATAGACAGGTGAGCCAAAGGTGGTGCGTGTCCCGACGCTAACAGACCAAAAGCTGCATACACCGCTGCGTCAATGTCTCAGAAGCGTCAACTGGCCAGTCACTCGTCCACAGATGGACAAAAGACCTAAAGCTTGATAAACGCTTTTTATTCCTATTTCGTGCTCGAGTGGCTGTTCTCCAAGACGATCCCAGCAGCCCATTCGCTACTTCATGAAGCCGCTTTTATCAATGGCTCAGCCGTGCTCTTGCGAATAACGAGCCTGGAGTACTCCGTAGGGGCAGCAAAGTCCTCCTTTGTTGGCACGTTCATTTATTACACGTCAAATGTCATACCCAAATGACCAGTGTGGCGCAAACTACAACCTCACAGGCCAAGCAGAGGGAACCCCCGATAAGGACGAGTCAGTTTGCTAGCCTAGAAGGGCTGGATGAAGTTTTCGCCCTGCTCCTCATAGTCAAATAGTGGAAAGCAATTGGCTTTACCTCTGCTCGTCCGAGTTGGGCTTTGGCTTGTGCAGAAATCGGATGCAAACTCGCGAGGGGATAAACTAGTAGTAGAGCCCCTGGCCCTTTGTCGCATGGACTGGATCTTGAACTGGATCTTGATATCCAATCCATTCCTTGGCTACCAGACAGACCGGATATGACAGTACTCCGTAAGTTGGGTCGAAATACAGCCAACGTCAAGATCCGTCGTGCTAACCTTGACAAGGTTATTTTCCATAATTCTTCCCCCCATACATCAAGTTCGGTAGTCAAAGAGGGGGTCTCCCGTCTTGCTGAGAACATGAACGGCCCAAGACACCATTTATAATTGTCCAAGTTGCCTTGGTCCAGGTTGACTGATCTAGGTCATAGCGATCCTCATGTGGACCAGGTTAAAGTCGGGTTGGGGATCCTAGTGAGGGATATAGGGAAATCTCTGGCTGGCCGTTGATGCTGGTCCAGATGTATAGGTATGACTAAAGTTTTGTTGATGGTTAAACCCTAGCCTACCGTCGACGTTCACCGGACGCATAGTATTATTCCGGCGTTGCCGACGTCGATTCCCCAGAAGCGAGACAGCAACCAACGGAACTGATGCGCTCTGTTCTACTATTCACTGGAAGTTGCATGTAGATGCGGCCAGCGTTGTAACGCCATTCAGCTGTATGCAAAATGTCAGCTGCGGCCTGAGTGGTGTCCCAAGTGTCGACTGCGTCGTCGATTGGCCACAGCCCAACTCCTCTGATAATCTACATCTCACTGCCTACTTCAGGTCATATTGAGGGGATGGATCCGGCCAAACAACTAGATTCGATTATCGGTTGGCTTACTCGATACGCCCTCATGGAACTCGTCACTAGAAAGCTCAGCTCGCCGCTCATCAGATGCGTCATCACCCGCCATCGAGACAAAATGAGCCATGAACATTATCGCAAGGGTGAGCGATATATAGGGCTCCCGAGTATGTTTAGCATATCGAGCCATATTCTCGGGTTGAGCAGACCTTCCGCAGCCCCTCCTGTTCAGCACAGAATTCACCTTCAGTCTATCCAAACTGGTGATTCGTCGAGACCGACAAAACCGGCATGCCTTATCCTGCTGGTTCCGTCGGGGAGAGGTGAAAGCATAAAGCTGAAGAGATAAATATCCACAAGGCTACACCAGATAAGGTATACCATTGCAGCTTGAGGTCTATAAAGATGCACCCATCTAGGCATCCGAATCTTTCAAGTCTTGTCCGGACAACCACAGATCCACGCGCCAGCAGAGTCGTATTCGTACTGCCGTGAGACATGGGGGCCGAGAGTACTAAATTGCTCAAATGCGCGTCGGTAATGCGGCCAATCTGTCAGCTGAGATGATGCATGCGGTATCTCTCACGACGAGATACCCAATGATACTTGCCCGGGAACTTCCCAGCCTTGCCTCGGCTTCTACGCATGACATCAATTTTCACGCCTGAACATTGGGGCAAAACAACCTGGAAGCAATTCACACTGGACAAGGACAATATTGCCTGCGCAGAAGATGCTCGGGCACTGAAGACGAGTACCAAAGGAAAAAGCCGTGCAAGACATGGAACGCCACCCTCCTTTTAATTCGCCAATAAAATGCCGCTTTGCCGAGGGCTTGTCTCTGGCCAACAAATGATATTCAATCATACGGTTCAACGTCGTCTCTCGGTGTAACCCGCCGGCCGTTGTGCTATTTGACAGCCTCAAAGACACTGCGCTATGGGTGAGAGGCAGGTCGGGGTGAAGGGGCAGGATCAGCAATCGTGAATGGCCCAATGTCTGGTTGATTTCATTGCTTTTGGCACCTCTGGGGAGCCGGTCGATTGTGAGCTGTCCCCTCACTTAAAATCTTCAAGGACGCCGCTGTTCAATACAGTACTATTCCGCCACGACATTTCATCTGCTCGAATATGTGATATTCGCAGCCGAAGGGGCGTTCGTTTTCTTCAATCCACAGTTGTGACGACGTCCACGGCCGCTGTCCGCTCACCGAAAGCAGATCCTCCCCACGCGTCTCCGAGCCTCGAGAACTTTTATTATAGAAATGTCGGGATAGACGCGGGTCGCAGAGCGAACGGTTAGGTGCAAAAGATGGCCGACTCGAGGCAAGTCGAGTCGTGGACATGGTATGGCTTCGCCAGCCTCTTCACACTCTGCCGCTTGTACGTGCATGATTCCGCGGACATGGCTCGGTGCTTCGTGTGCCGATAACTCTAGCTTGAGCAGTGCCAGTGTCAGCGCCAGTACTAACTCGGATGCAGCGTCTCGAGGTCAATCCGACTGGGTGGAGTTCGGTATTTCGAGGTCGAAGACTATGTCATGGTTCTTGCCTTTGTAAGGAAACATGTCTCGATTCAACGTGGACGAGAATAAAAGTCGAGTCGAGTCATGTCCGCCGCTGACCCACTCGCGGAGGAAGCCGATATGTGGCGCTGACACTTGGCGATCGTCCCGCACTTTGACACTGACAGCTTGCAGGGCGTCTACACCAATGTCATTGTATGGGTCAATATTCAAGAAAAGCACCCCCACACCAATATCCTGCCGTCAACGGGCACCGGTGGCATGAGCGGAGCCGAGATGCGTGATCGCATCTACGGAAGCAAGATTACGTTTACAATTGAGGAGTCCATGGTGGTTTTGCAAATGCTATGCAAGGTGTGCATGTGTTTGTTGTTTATGAAGTTGACGTGAGGGAGCACTGCGACAACATTCAATGCTACAGGGCGCAGTTGTTTACTGACAAGAGTTTGGACCCAGGTCGGGATTGAAGCGACAATTGCACGTCAAGCTGTTGCTTGGCTACGTTCTAGCGGGATGGGTCGTCACTGAGGCCTTCTTCTTCGGCTTTTGGTGTCAACCATTTCGCAATTACTTTCGAGTTTTCGTAGGAAATACACGTACGTCTCGAGTCATCTTCTCGGAGCGGGCAATGCGTACTAACATTGAGCACCGTCATGGGATCTAGCCGGCTGTACGACATCGCAGAGCCATCTGATCATGTCGTTTGCTTTCAACCTTTCATCTGATCTTTTAATGCTCGCCGTTCCCATATCAATGTTGCTGCAATCACAGCTGCCCTGGAAAAAGTGCGTAAAGCCCCGCTGAATAATTACAATCGGCACTAACCAACCATAGAAAAGCGACCATTTGTGGGATATTCGGCTTGGGCATTTTTGTCGTACGTCGCCATAAACCCAATGATATGTATGAGCACCCGTTCTGACCATTTAGCTAGATTCTTGCCGCTGTGCTAAACAGATATTATTGCTTCGCACATCCCGAGAGCATCCTCTGGATCTACTGGTATGTTCGCGAAGGCAGCACCGCCATCGTTGTCACCAACGTGCCGCACTGCTACGCGCTGCCCCTCAAAGCGCTCAAGCTCGAAGCATTCAGCAGCCTCGTTGGCAGCATGCTCAAGACAAGGCGCGCCTCATCCGGCAAGCATGGGGAAGACCGCGGCGCCAACAAGAACAAGGCAACCAGCGACAAAGGCATTCATCATAGCAAGCCAGCGTCATCAGAAAGCACGGAGAACTTTGCGACAAGGATATCAAAACCAGCGTCAACATTGCAAATATGGCAGAGCAGCGAATATAGTGTTAATACAAACAATACGAGTGAGCCTCGGTGGGAAGAGACGGAGCTGCAGCAAATATGGCAAGGCGGATTGGGGACAACGGCAAAGGTCGAGGCGGCCAGGGCGGCCAGTTATGGGAGCCCAGGCAATCGTGATGACCGTGAGGGCATTGGACAGACGGTGTGATGTCACTGGAGTTGGTCTATTATTGGACCAAATAATTTAGCTATGCTATGATATCATCAACGTCAACATTCGTAAATAGGCACAGGAAGCCGACTGCGGAGTCTCCGACAAGTCATTTTCCTGCCGCACCCTTATCCCCTTACCCCCGGCCGTCGCAATTTTCGGCCAACAACTCGGTGACCACATGGCCGTCCGATTCTGGGGTAGCACAGTGTAACATATCGCCGAGTCTCGGTGGAATTTACACCAAGATGTCGGGATTTAACTTTCTTTTTTGCCCCTTGACTTCAGATGTCACGGGCACGTGCGGTAGCATCGCGAGCCGCTTGTGCACCACGGGCGAGCCGCGGGACACGGTTCCGGCGGGGAAAAAGATATGTACACCCCTCCGGTTGCGGAAAGAGGCTCTTTTGTTCGGGGAAATGTCGTGATGGGGTTGTGGAGGGACCGTTCGTTCGTACCAGGAGCTTCGGGGACGGGGTTGGTGACAGAGAATTGGTGCTTTTGCGTGGGGAACGCGGTTGCGCGGGTAGCGGCTGCAAGGTGGTGGGATAAGCATAAGTCTTCGGGAAGGAGAGTGCTTACGCGGGAGGATGGATATCGAGGTCTCGGGAGACGCAGATGTAGATTTGGTTCTAGAATGTTCCATGATTGCTGCGACCTCACTACTTAAGTACGTTGTTGCATATTTTTTGTGTCTTGAATTTTGCAACGGAGATAGCCGTTGCAGGTTGAAGGGGGGGGGGGGGGGGGGGTACAGATACGAGAGAGCATTAGAGGGGGGTTTTTGGAAAGAGACATCAATCTGGTGGGTCAATTGAATAGCGCCAGGGGCAAAGGGGTCAATAGAAAAGAAGAACAAATATTTACTGGGAACACTGAAAAAAAAAAAGAGAGAGAAGGGAACGGAGAGAAGGAAAGTAAGATGGAACATTGAAACGAAAAATGGCTGGCTGGCATTTGTTAAAACATCAGTCTGGTCGAGCTACCCTGTAGCTAGTCGTTAGCCGACTTCCGAATCAAGATCGGCTAATGCTCCGTACGTCGAACCAAACCTCAAACCCCGCCAAGTTTTTACAAGATGTATCTTTTAGGGCTGTGCACTCCAGCGGAAATGCCTCATAGCCATCAGTCCAACGGCGCTGCTACGTAGTGGTAACTAAACGAATACTTGTATCATGGACTGGCACGGCCGCGGGGGCAGGTGACATCATGCTCGGTCACTGGCTCTGGCCGCCTCCACCACGGATGGATGGACGTTTATGAATATTAACTACTACTTTATGCAGCAGAATACACCAATAAACAGGCGAGTGGGACAGTGTATTTGTGCTCGTTTGGGCAGTGGGCCGTGGAACCCGTGGGATACTATCTTGGGCAGGTGTAGGCCGGGTAGGATATCACGATTTATAATAGAAGGCTTTTATGACCATGGATACAAAAACCAGTGTGAAGAAAAAGGGAAATGCGGGAGATGGATTCTGAGAACCGGTAACTCGGCCACAGTTCCAGGCCGAGGGCGGCTGCAGGGTCGCCGGTGGTGTCTGGACTGGTGCGAGGGTGCAGGACTGGTGCTGGCGGCGTGACAGGGTGCCTGGTGCTACAAGCACGCCTCCAGTCGTCATCCGCCAGGCTAGTCGGTGGCTCAGGTTCATGTAGGTGAGAGTTTGTGAACCGCCACGAGTGCGTGCAGGCGCCACTTGGTGAGAGGGTCCAAGATGGCACGGAAATTAATATACGGACTGGATATTGAAGGACATGGAGACATTGAGGGACGAATTGAGCAGGACGACACGCGACCAGGTAGCGTCAGGGCGGGGAGGGCCTTGGGAGATACTTTGGGGCATGTACTTTGTCAACATGGAAGGTTGAATGGTCGGAGCGAGCGCCCGCTGCTGGCACGTCGTTAGGCCTGGGTCACAGCGGACTGGACTCGGCTGGTCAACTGGTCAGCGTGCCAGCTCGGCGGACTTGGGGCCTAGATGCACTAGACTCGAATCGCTGAGAGGCACACTCGAGACCAGCACCAGGCCGGTATGTGCACTAAAAGTACACTGTACCAGACTGGGTGCACTAAATGCGCCGCATGTAGGGCCTTCGGGCTCCGGCTCGCTGGGCCGAGCAGCTGGCACCCAGGAGTTGACATCTCAATGTGCTGGCACGCTGAGACGTCAAGTCGTCGCCATTTCCTTTCAGGGCAGGCACTAGCGTCTGGTCCTTCCAACATCGAAATCTTGGAACATTCACATGGGCAGTTGGCATTTCGATATTCTCCAAACGCTCAACACTTGCAATTGAGTCGACTGGTGTCCAATTTCAACCACCAGCTCCAGCCATTTCGTATGCGTTCCAGACAGACCTAGACCCAGCCTCTGGGCCGACAGTGTAACCCTCCCGTTATTCTGCGTGCTCATCGCCATGTTTCGACGCACCACAACAGCGCGCCTGGTGATTTCGCGACACCGGCACCCCCCGCACCCGCGTGTCTCCTGCCTCAACACCAACAACTACTCGTCATCCTCTCAGCCCCCAAGAGACTCGCCTGGAACCATTGCTGTGACGTTTGGAGCCTTGATCGCCGGAGCCTGCGGTTTCTATTCCATCAGTCAGTCCGGCGCATCGCACAGCGTGCCGTCCCTCGTCGAGCCTGCAGATGAGGGCCACATTCCCGTCAGGTCCCCTGTCGAGGTGTACAGTCTCAAAGCGGCAGACGCCAAAGTTCGACAACAGGCAACCAGCTTCACCTTTGACGGGCACAATGGCCACGGAAGAATCGACGTCGTTCGTGTAGCCAGCAACAACCCCGTCGAGGATGAATGGGCCGTGGCTGTCGGAAAGGGGGTTGGAGGCAACAAAACATTGTATGCTGGTGTATATGACGGTCACGCGTGAGTACATACCAATGTCTTGACATCCCTCCCCCCTCAAAACCCCCACCTCCACGGCCCATGACGATAATCCTGAGTTGCTTATGCTTATTGCCTTATTGGCCCCATTCAGTGGTTGGGCGACGTCAGCAGTCCTTCGGCAGGCGCTGATTCCCTATGTTTCCCACGCCGTCAGCCGCATTGCAGCATCAACAAGCCCCGAGCTCATTGACTCAGCTATCAAGTCGGCCTTTAGTAACCTCGATGCCCGCATCATGAACGAGGCCAAGTATGCCGCTCAAGGAGCCGCGGCCGCGGAGCCGGGTTCCGCCGCTGTCCTCGCCGCCATTGCTCCTGCCGTGTCGGGATCCTGTGCTCTGCTGTCCATGTACGAACCGGCCTCTTCAATGCTCAGAACTGCTGTGACTGGCGACTCTCGAGCCGTGCTCGGATCTTGGTCTGATGAGGCTGGCGGGTACAGCGCTGTAGCTCTCAGCAAGGATCAAACCGGCTTTAACCAGGACGAGGTGAGGCGTCTCGACAAGGCTCACCCCGGTGAGATTGGGGACATGATTGATCCCAAAACCGGGCGTTTGTTGGGCATTGCCATAACTCGAGGATTTGGGGATCACCGGTGGAAGCTATCCAAAGACGCCGTCACGTCACTCCAGGGGAACTTCTACGGCTTCGCCGGTCGCCCCGGGTATAAGTCGCCGCCTTATATGACTGCCGAGCCTGAAGTTACCACTCGCAAGGTAGCCACAAAGGATTTTGTCATTCTGGCCTCGGATGGATTGTGGGATGTAATTTCCAACGACGATGCTGTAGAATGCGTTTCAAGGTGGTTGGCTGCCAAAAAAGCTGGCAAGCCCGAGACCGTTATCGACGCCAAGACGGCTCTGACGGTTGGAGAGGACGGATGGCCATCTTACAAAGCAACTCCCGAGTTCTTTGCAATTGAGGATCTTGACAATGCGGCCGTCTGCCTTGTGAAGAATGCATTGGGCGGCAACCGCCGCACTCTGTTTTGTGGTTCCATGACCGCTTACAGCCCCGTCAGCCGATACATCCGAGATGATGTAACGGTTCAAGTCGTCTTTTTCCAGGACCCCTATGGGAGTACCACGAAATAATCCCGACGGGATGAAACCACTATCGGACGACTTTAGTTTGAGACTTGCGACAGTTGCTCATAATGGTATTCTCGTTGCTGTTTAGCGCAAGTCAATTTCAGCCACAAAAAAAGGACTAAAAGAAAACCACACACACGCGTACACACACACACACACGAAAAAAAAAAAAAAAAAAAAAAAGGAAAAAAGGAAAAACCGATGGTTTCAACATTCGCTGTGAATCGCTTAGTCGTTAGTAGTTGCAGACAGTCAGTTGTGTTTGTTTGATAAGTCCGGTATTGGTTTTCTCCACACGAAATACGCAATCAAGAATTCTAAGAAACGTTTGCTGCACATCGATCAACTATCTAGACGTGCCCCGCGTTCAAGGACTCGGCTTCTCAGAAACAGCCGTGTTGACCCGCGGCGCTTGTCAGCATGTTACATCGGACTCAGTAGAGCCCTTGGCAGGCTTGGTTGTACGTATCTGGATGCATGTGATGTCTTGGATCTCGTGGAAGTCAATAAGCGGTGGGTCCAATTTGCCTCTGATGGTGCCGTCCAAGATATCGAGGTTCTCAAAAAGCTGGCCAACCAATATCCTGTTCAAGTGCTTCTTACTCGGTGCCACCTACAGTCTGGTGGTCGGCATACTTGAGAGTTGGAGTGATACTGGCAATATCACTCTATGCCCGATGACCGCCGCTTATCAATTCATTACGGATCACCATGTTCGTCGTCATTTACGGATCGATTGCGCGAGCCAAGATGCAGGCCACAGGTCCGAGTAAAGTTGCCTTGTTGGGCAGTCGTCTACTTGTCCAAAACGGTGCGAGCGGCTGGCTTTCGCAAAGCGAATCGGCTCGGCTGTTTACCGAGTCACGACTGACATGCGCTCTTGCAGTCGTATACGTTCTTGGGAATTCTTGGAGAGAGGAAGCTGTCTAGGTAGTATCTAAACGAAGAACCCTGGACCGTTGGATTTTTTCCACAAAGTCCCAATTCTCTGTCACTCTACATG